ATAATAATAATAATAATAATAATAATAATAATAATAATAATAATAGTGCGGTTTTTTTTACAGTTTAACCTAAAACACACCTTGGGGAAAAACTAAACTAAAACGCATCAGTGGCAGTGTTCTATGCAGCATTAAAGGGAATAAAACCTTTTTTTCTGGACAAAAATTAAGCTTTTGTCAATAAGTTAGCTGCATATTTGCACTATGATTTTTTTGGAGCAAATAAAAGTTTTGATTTAACAATGACGGCTGGTTTAAAAAAATGAAAAATGAAAGTTACAACATTGTGATTGAACCAAATAGCCTGTTTTAATATATGAAGTGTTTTATAGCTGTTAATATTTTATAAAGTGCTTACAAACTCACCAATAATCTCTTTATAAAGCATTGAGAAATCATTTATAAAATGTCCCTAATTGTGACCAGAAAAAAAAAACCTCTAAATAGGATGGAGAAATAAAGTGATGTAAGGCCTCACCCAGATATTTTTTTGTTAATTTCGATCAAACTAAGTTGTCAGTGGATAGTATTTTCTTTACGGTTGAAGATTAGTTAATAATTAAAAAAAAGCTGAGAGGAAGCACAGAAGTGTAAATCAAAWTAAAACCCATTGAGCTTGAAGTGAGAAGCCCAAACAAACCGCGCTGAGAGCTTTGGCCAACTTCAACACAAAAGCGTGCCTGAGGTTTAAGGGTTCCCATCTCCTCCACCGCACAGACGGACAGARCTCCTATTGGACCATCATCCCGCCAATCAGCAATTATTTTTTCTTCCTCCCGTCAGCATCGTAGCTCAGGGTCCCGCCCACTCCGACTGTGAAGATTGAAAAAAAAAATACTTGGAGCTCTTTTTTTTTTTTTTGGACCAATAAGATTGAACATCGCTGTTTTGTCCATAAGAGGGAGTTGAGTTTCTTATGCAGCAGTTTGGCTTGTTTCCACAGCAGAACAGCAGAGTGCGGAGAGAGGAGGGGGGTTAGTGTTGGACTGGTTTCTCTCAGAGCGGCTGTGGAAAGTCTGAGGCCAGCCTGTCTGCTGTCTGTCTGTCGGTCCGCTCCGTCCTTTCAGCTCCGACATTTATCTCCAGCTGAAGACCAGCCGGACCAGCAGGAAGAGCTCCATTTCCTCCCACCTGGATTAACTCAAGACGTCCTTTCTTCTTCTTCTTCTTCCTCTTTTTTAATTTTTTCTTCCGTTGTTCATTTTGGTAACGGAGAAACAAACAAAAAAATGTTGTGGAAATTAGCTGACAACGTCAAATATGAAGATGACTGTGAGGTGAGTGGAGAGAACGGCGAAGGATGAAGAAAAACAAAGTTTTTTTCTTGTCTTTTCTTGTTTTTATTTTATAATTATTATTATTATTATTAT